ATATCGACGATGTATTGTCAATTAACAATGGCTATTTTCATTCTTATGTCGATACGATATATCCTGGTGAACTTCAGATAAAAGATACCACAGAGTCTGACACATCTGTTTCATATTTGGATATTTTACTTGAAAAAGACGTTAATGGTAATCTAACAACCAAGCTTTATGATAAACGTGATGACTTTAACTTTTCAATCGTCAACTTCCCTTACTTATGCAGCAATATACCTTCATCACCTGCATACGGGGTATATATCTCTCAGTTGATTCGATACGCAAGAGCATGCTCTACGTATGTACAATTTCTAAAACGAGGTAAATTATTGACAAATAAGTTAATGAAACAAGAATATCAGCTCTCTCGTTTAAAGTCATCATTTCGTAAGTTCTATGGTCGATACAATGACCTTGTCAGCAAATACAATTTATCACTGAGTCAAATGCTGACTGACGTTTTTCATACTGGTTGTTAGGCCATTATTTACACACTGAATTGTCGACGGATTTTCCCGTTATTTCCCGATCATGACAAGGAGCACACGGCGGGTGTGACCGGTCGGCAGGGGATGCTCACTCCTCCATGGCACCTGATCCCACCTATGATGTTTGGAGGTCCGTGTTTGCTCTGCTCCTATTTTGTATTGTATAATGGACTTTTGAGCTTGAATACTGTTCGTTATCTCCATATATTTCATTTCAAGCGCAGTCAGAGCAGATCATTTTCTTCTTCAATGAAAAAAGTGAGTTTGACCAGAAAAAAGGGGCTGCTAAACTCCAAAACTCTATTTTTGAAAAGGGGGCGGGGTGGGGGTGGGGGTTAGTAGCAACGGACATGGACAAATTATTTATTTTCAATATTTTAGAGGAAATACATGCGTGCAGATTATTTATTTTTTTAGATAGATTAGAACCGATTATTTATTTTCAACATTTTGACAGATTACATATGTATTTATTTCGAAAATTTGTCATTGTAGTCTAATGTAATTTTATACAACCAAACATCCATATACATTGTAAATGGAAATGTAATTGCCTTAACTGTTTTCTTGATTATAACTTCCGTTTATGATGCGTTTTTACCCATCGAAAAAAATCAAATAAAAAAGAAAACATGTTATTACGCGCAGAGAAAATTAAGTAATATTTTGTACTAACTATGTGCATTTCTACTGTCAGATTACTTTTGAATGTATATTTTGCTAGTTAGCGAACACCTAAAGGATCGATTAGATTTTTTTAGACATCAATAATTCCTCACAAATAGAATAAAACGTACTTTTTTCATTGCTTGTTTGATCAAACCGTCAAGAAAATATGCTTTTTATACGAAGCAGCAACTAAGCAACTACAAGAACTCAAGAAAAAAAAAGTACGTTATTTTTTTCAATATGAAGCAGCAATGAAAAGAATTTAAAAGGAATGGTAGACGAAATAAAAGCGGGGGTTATAAAGTTTAACTTATTTATTTACAAATCCATTTCCAAAATATTCAACCATAAGGGTATGGTGTACAAAATAAAATAATAAATAAAGAGAAAAAAATAAACAACATAAAAAAAGAAACTAGCTCATACAAAACGTAAAATTAAAACAAAAAGATAAAAAAGACTGCTTACATGTATAACGAAAATACAGTTGTAAAAATTAAATATTCCTGACAGCTTTAATTGAAAAAACAATTTGTTAAAAAAATGCTTGCGACACCGTCCTTTCATTTACATAAAATAGAGAGATTAATAAAGAAAGAAATGGCTTTATCAAGTAGCCAATCATATACTAAAGCGTACAGATTCCTCTCACTTAATTTGCATACCGTTCACCAAAGCATACCGTTCACAAAACGAAACGTACCGTGCACAAAACCAAACAAAACGTTCACAAAACGAGCCGTATCATGCAGGAAACGAAACGAACATTACCTTGCAAGTGGTATATATATATATATATATATATATATATATAGTAGCACGTTTTAGGGGCTGTATATATGTACCTCTGTATATCTACATACTACAATAGTTGCTCTTAAGAACACTTTTGTACCACTAACACTATATTCCACTGAACTCCAGAAAATTTTACAATTTTCCCCACCATGTCCGACATTTACCAGGTTAAAGATCATTGACACAGAAGAAGACTTAGCGTTTCCCAATTTTGGTCAATGAATAAATGTAAGAAGCTCATTTGGTGTGCAAGTAGACATGAAAAACAAGCATTCTGAGAGTATTGCATGAGCAATACATGTCCCCTACCGGTATCCCCTTTTCTTTTAAGGATGTCATTTTACAAGACCCCGTATATGATAACTGCGCCCCCCCCCCCCCCCCCAAAAAAATGTGGACATTTCGGATTACTTGTTTATGAATGAACTGTTGGAATGGAATCTGTCTTACAAAGACATGTTTGACTAAAATCACATAATGTATGATGACATGACAATTACTAACGTTACTCGTTTTCCCTAACCTGGCACTTACCACCCGGTAAAAAATCTCTGCCTTTAACTCATAAATAAATAGGAATATAAAAACAATTCAAATCGGGAAAAATATTCAGTCTTTATTGCATCTGGTATTATTTCGCCAAGTGTATTAAGTATTCGCTGGTAGGAATTGCTGAAAACAATGCACAATATTACTTTATGGTTTACCGTCTTCTGTCACAGTCGACAACCTCGTTTTTGGAACATTTTAGTGCAGCACGAACCCGATCGTGAACCCGATTATAAAAAAAAAGAGGAGTGCTTAAAACTGATTTAGTCTATAGCTAGCACCTGTTGGTCAAACGTGACAGAATTCAAACTTGATTTATAGTTTGTCACTATAAAGCTACCTAGCAAGTTTGAAATCAATAATTTTAAATCTGAAAACCTTGTTTTGTAACATTAATATAGTGCAGCACGAATCCGATCTTGAACTATTATAAAAAAGAGGAATGTTTAAAACTGATTTACTCTCGAACCTTTTGGTTAAACGTGATAAAATTCAAACTTCATCTGCAGTTTATCACTATAAAGGTACATAACAAGTTTCTCAAAAGCATAAAGAAAAAAGTGAGGAAAACCAAGTGGGACAGACTGACAGACAGACAGAGGGACAGACAGACAGACACGCAGCTAGACAGACGGACGAACATACTCAGAGGAAACCTATAGTCCCCTCCGGTTTCACCAGTAGGGGACTAATAACTATACTGTAGTAGGAGTGATCTTGTCTGCTATGTGTTTTAAAGGATTAGCTGCACTTAACGCTGGGTTTTGGGTCTTTTTCCATCGCTTCTGTTGCTTATATATCTTAACCTTATTTCATTTTTGTATATTTACTAAGAAATTTGTCATTTTGGCACCAAATTTAAATGTTAAATTGATTTTAGACTGTGATATAATAAAATAATTCTATATTTTTTTCCTTATTGCTTTCCAAATATAGATAATTTACTCTTGTATCTGCCCTTGATTAAACATTAGGTATGCGTGAGAGGTGGAGCTAAAATTGTAAGAATGGCTCTAAAATTAGACTAGATAAATAACAATGACATGTATAAAAATACGAGATTACTCTTTCCCATCCCCCCCCCCCTTTGTTCTGATGGGCGCAAGTACAATATTTACAAAGGTTTCAAAATGAAATTAACAACAATATGAGCACGTCCATGTGAGTAAAGAATATTTTATTTGATAATGAATATCGATGCCTTACAATTCAACGTGTTTGAGCACAGTGTCATGGTTTCATATAGCAGAAAACATGGTACTGTACCTTACAAGTCAAGTGACGGGAATTAGTATTCACAGAGATACCTGAGGTAAGAAATCACAATCATTATGGTGAATTATTATATTAAACATGTCAGCCCTTGGTTACAACAGAAAAAGTGAATGTAAGTAGAAGCAGGTTTTTTTTTTTTATCTCTTTTAAACCATGAGCGCATGTTTGTCTATTAATCTCCCTTTCACACATCATTATTAATGCAAATATACAACTACTGTTAAACGGAGAACAATAGACAAACATGCGCTGACAATGTATAAAGTCAGTGAAAAAGTGGGCGTCCTTATTATCGTACGGAGAATCAAGAAATTGTGATGACCCCCGCTTTTCAAAACAGCTGCGTAGTAAATACATAGTTTTATTAGTCCCCTACCGGTGAAACCGGAGGGGACTATACGTTTCCTCTGTCCGTCCGTCTGTCTGTCCCTTTATCTGTCTGTCTGTCTGTCCCACTTGGTTTTCCGCACTTTTTTCCTAAACGCTTGCAGATATTGAGCTGATTTTTGGTACGTGAGTATATCTTGATGAGTTACAGATCAAGTTTGCATTTCTTTCGCTTCATTGATTTTTGACGGAATTACGGCCTTTTCAATTTTTAAGGGTTTTCCGCAATTTTCTTCTAAACGCTAGCAGATATTGAGCTGATTTTTTATATGTGACTTTACCTTGAATAGTTATAAATCAAGATTGCATTTCGTCCCGCTTCATTGATTTTTGACGGAATTATAGCATTTTCAATTGTTAACGGGAACCATATTACACTTGCCGGTAGGGGACTAGTATTGCTGATGCAATACTCTCAGAATGCTTGTTTAATGTAATTACGTAAAGTTATAGATTAGATATGCTGAATATTCCTGCAATTAAAGGAAAGAATGCTTGTTTTGAAAGTTTATTTAGTCGCAATTTTTGCATGTTCTTAAGTGCAGTCATCCTTTAAATAAATACACTGTACATACAGTTTGAAAACTGATCTTTCAAAAGAGCATAATGCGGAAAATTGGCCTAGCAGGTTATGAAATAGCAGTAAATCTGTGTTTTCATAGCAGTCAGTTTTGTACGAATACTTCTTTTGGTTTGTTTGAGAAATGAAACCCTATTTGAGATTAAACTTTCACTCAAGACCCAACTGTTCAATTCTCATTTGGTTCAAACCATTGTATAGTCCATTCATTTCTCATAATAGGAATTGTATTGTGATATAAGTTGTTCTTCACTTACTTAAATGAAGAGTTAAGTTGACTACTACAGGGTATTGTATCCCCTCTAACATTGTGTCTGATTGCCACCATGTCCAGTTATAGTTGTTATTAAAATCAGTCATGAATTCGGGGGGATGGCTATACCCAGGCCTCTGGGCGTCACAAATTCGGCATTGCTTCCTGATCCACGCCACCCTCGTATGTAAACAGTATTCCATGGGTCTTGTCAGTCCACACGTGTTGGTGGCATCAATAGTTTTTCCAAAGGCAGCGTTCACAAAAATTGGCACACATCTTTGAGCCTTTCCCTGTGCTTTGTAACATCCTAAACTTGGTAAATTTTTTATTTCCTTTTGTCCATTTGAGATATGAGGTAGAAATCCAAGATATATCACAAGCACAGTTAGCTTACACATTTTACAATCCGTCAAACTCGAAGCGTGTACGCCCAATGAAACTTACATCAGAGCTGTGATGCATCACGGGAAATTCAAAACTTTTACATTGCTACCGAAAGGGAGAGAACTCTTAAAATAACATTACAACATAAACCAACATTGTTCACTGCAATATTCTTTTAGTTGATTATTCTATCCAGAGTGAGTTACCTTATGTTTATATTTATTTAGTAAAATGTATCAATTTGAGTTCCATTAATTACATAGAGATTGCATCAGCATAAAAATACAGATATATTAATAAACATTGTTTTTATCCAAATCAATAAGTATCTTACATTCATACTGCCCCCAGAGGACATTTAATTGGTATTAAAAATATTCTATGTTGGGGGGGGGGGGGGTCGCCATTCTCCAACGGCAGATTAACAATCCTCAAAGCTCAATACCTTTAACGTTCTTTTACAGTTCTCATACACTAGTGAATTTCAAACTAATGAGAATTTTACTTATCAAAAGCAGAACTTATCAGTCCCCAAAACAAGGTCACGAAACCCATAATCATTAAAACAAAGAACTTAAGTAATTTATAAAATTTGGGAACTATAAATTCAGCTAAATCTTAAATAAATTAAGATGCCTGTAATTTTCAAAAAGTGGAATAAAATTGCGTTTTATATTATGATCCATGTCGAATATTGTAGAGCATAATTTTATGTTGATTTATATAGCTAATAATATTATGTTAGTTGCACCCTCCATATTCAAACTATTACCTTCAAATTTCTATTTCCATTTGTAGTATAACTGTCAAAATATTATTTTTTTTCTCACTGTTCACAACGAGAGAGAGAGAGAGAGAGAGAGAGAGAGAGAGAGAGAGGTTTCCTTCTGAAAGAAAGATCTAGGTTCCAAATCATTCAAAACAGTCAAGTTCAACATGTTTTAAACAAACTTATTTTTGTATGCATTGTTTAAGCATCAAATTAGGAATTTTTATTACTGTGTAAACGTAAGTTACAAAGTGAATAATGCTTCATAGCTTGTTAATAAATGTAATATACATTCTTATGTGATGCACATTAAATGATTAAAATGATCATTAATTTCTCAGTTAGTTAGAAAGTTAAAATTCTAGAAAAGATTTACCGCCACACAAACAGTCCGTCACCTTTCCGTAGACAACGAGAAGAATTTTGGATTAGAAAACTAGGGACAGCCTTTCCCTATGGATGTAATGACAATGTCGATAGTGTTGGAAATCTATCCAGTCCACAATGTAACAATGTAAATGTGATGGGACTTTTTAACCATACACAGAGACGTAAGCGTAGTCATGGGCATCGGTCTTGCAATAAACCTTTAATACACGATGTCTCTTTTGATTCATTACTACCTTACGTAAATCAACAGTTAGGTCTATATCATATTCGCACCAAACTTTACTCTGTCCCTTTGAAACGTTTAAATAGTCTTCTTGAAAAGGTCAAGGAAAGTCCATTTTTTGATTCCTCGACACCAGAATATAGGCTCGGATCTGTGATTATGGATATAGCAAATCATGGGTTTTTTAAACCCCAACGTTTTATTGAAGAAAATGCTGCTAAAACAATCCGTTTTTCCTTAGACTTCAATATGCCAACAAAGGAATTGACGCGGTTAATATAAGTAATATTCTTAATCACAAAAGGGTCCAGTCTTGTATTCCACCATATTTCAAGTTAGAGACTACACCTTTTATTTCCTACAAATATACATCGACTATTGCTTCCAAACTTTTTAATTACAAGAAAACTTTACAGGGCCTGGGTATCGAATATCTGAAACATAATCCTCCATCGTGTTCATGTTCTTCTTCACCCTATAACTATAGTCCTGCTGGACACGTTATTATTGGTAACGTAAATATAAATAATAATGAGAACCTTAGATAATTAATTTTAAAAGGTCCTAAATATAGGGAACCCCGATCCTTCAACTGACGTCGGAATTTCATAAATATTATGGATTCTGTAGAGGTACGCCAGGCGATGGGCCAGACATGAAAAAGAAGACCTTGACACTTTGTCAGAATGGATTAAATGTATCAGATGTATGTTAAAATCGCGCAATAAAAGATTGAGGGGCAATATGAGAACCATCTTTCCTTCTGTATTCAATAATCCAGAAGTGAAAAAAAAACTTAGATAGATTACATGATCAGTACGTACTGGTCCATGCTGACAAAGCAGGTTACAACATTGTCTTTGTTTGTAAGGCTCATTATATTAAATGTATCTTAGAGGAACTTCGATTTAATTCTACTAGTGGTAATTCAACTTAATCTCATAGTTCCCTTTCTAAGGAGGAAATTCTTCAAAATCATATGTCAGTTTTGAATATTTTTGATATTCCAAACAGCCAAAATGAATTCGAATTACCATATCTATATCGGATTCCGAAACTTCATTAAAATCCTTACAATCAAAGATACATAGCGGGTTCCAGAAAATGTTTAACCAAGCCTCTTTCTTTACTCCTCACTAAGATATTAATTAACAGTAGTAAAGGAGAAACGTCAAAAGTACTGTGCAACAATATATTCAAGATGTGGTGTAAATCAGATGTGGATACTTAAAAATTCCAAAGAACTTTTTGAAAATATGAAATCACAAGATTTTACCTAAATCAACAGCTTAAAAACTTATGACTTTTCAACTTTATATACAACCATTCCCCACGATAAATTAAAGTCCAGGCTTTTTCATATCATTGGCAGCTGCTTTTTCAATATAAATGGAACTCGTAAATTTACTTACCTTGTTATTGGTCATTTGCAAAATTATTTTGTTAAAAACATTCTGATTGTACACACAAGTACTCTGAAGTTGACATTAAAAAGATGCTTGAGTTTTTGACTGACAATATCTATGAGGTTTTGGAGACCAGATCTTCCAAAAATCTATTGGAATTCCTATGGGTACCAATTGCGCCCCGTTATTAGCAGACCTTTTTTGTATTCATATTAAGCAGAATTTATCCAAAGTCTTGTACGTGAAAAGAAGAAAACGCTTGCTGTGGCCTTCAACTCGACATTTAGATATATCGACGACGTATTGTCAATTAACAATGGTTATTTCCATTCTTATGTCGATACGATATATCCTGGTGAGCTTGAGATAAAAATTATCACAGAGTCTGACGCATCTGTTTCATATTTGGATATTTTATTGAAAAAGACTTTACTGGTATTCTAACAACCAAGCTTTATGATAAACGTGATGACTTTAACTTTTCAATCGTCAACTTCCCTTTCTTATGCAGCAATATACCCTTATCACCTGCATATGGGGTGCATATCTCTCAGTTGAATCTATACGCAAGGGCATGCTCTATTCATGAACAATTTCTAAAACGAGGTTAGTTGTTGACAAACAAGTTGATGAAACAAGAATATCAACAGTCTCGTTTAAAGGAATCATTTCGTTAGTTCTATGGTCGATACAATAACCTTGTCAACAAATACAATCTATCATTTAGTCATATGTTGACTGACGTTTTTTTATATACTTATTGTTAGGCCATTATTTACACACTGAATTATTGACGGATTTTTCCGTTATTTCCTGATCATAACATGGAGCAAACGGCGGCAGGTGTGACCGGTCGGCGGGGGATGCTCACTCTTCCATGGCACCCGATCTCACCTCCGATGTTTTTGGAGGTCTGTGCTTGATCTGCTCCTGATTTGAATCGTTTTAATGGACTTTGACTTTGAATACTGTTCGTTATCTCCATATTTCATTCTTATACATCAGGCAATACCATGATGTGGTGTTTTCTAAACTCAAAACATTATTCGTAGTATAAATCTGCGTTTATTGCAAATGTTGAAGAAATACCGAGGATTATTTTACTCACTCTCAATAGTTATTAGAGATATTTTTGGGTACAAATATGTTGGCGCTTTTTCTGTGGCATGCAATAACTGTCATGATAAACGTCACCTAAAACTATGATTGAAAATATTTTCATTTTTTTGCAAAAGTAAATCTTAATTTCTTTCTTTTTTTTTGGTAAATATTATACCCCTGACACTTTCAAGTTTACTGGAAGTGATTGAAGTTATTGATCACTGGAAGTTATAGAATACAGTAATGAAATTATGTATGTTGTGTCAGAGGCAAAGGAAGTTACATAATTGCAGAAGCTAACATTACACGTATCGTCCCGAGGGATTGAAGGCAAAATGAACAAAATATTATTTTTCTTTTATATTAAAACGGAGAAAACGTACATCTCAACATTTCTTATTCCTTAGAGACTGCTACTGCAACAGGTACAGGTAATTCAAGGAAATGAAAAAAAAAATAGTTTACATATGACCATGTAGTTTAATACAAGGAAAGGACATCTGTAGAGTATTAACAAAAAATGAGTAAGATAATGTGTATATGCGAAATGACTTTGTGAATAGATGGTAAACCTTCGTAAACTTGCTTCCGAGAGCTGAACAGTGACTATGTTATAAATATACAAGGAAGTCGAATGATTACATGCAGCACATAATCCATGCCAAACGATATGCACAATCATATATTTTTAAATGAGAAGAGTAAATGAGTACCAAAGTTATAATATACAGTCCCTTCTCCATTATCTGTGTCAATTTGTAATGAACAACTGGTACCAAAGGACCCTTAAAATTGTTTGGCACAGTATTATGTGGTTTCTGGTTTTAGTGAAAGTAAAAGACTGTTATTCCATTTTACAGACATGCACATGCACATATATAAATTTTAGTCTAGATTTTGCGCCACTTTTCAAACGATCAGGTCTAATTTTATCATTAAAAACATGCAAGAGTTTTGAAAAATTGATTTTGTATATATCCTTTTTTGATAATGAATAAGAATAAACAATACGCTTGTCAATTTATTTTGTTTTTCTTGTGAAAGAATATCATCTTCGCTGTGTTCTACTTCTTCGTCATTCTACAAATTTCAAACTGGAACCGTCGGTCTCTGAAAAAAAAATGCTTTATTTTAAATTATTTCAAGCTTTAGATGAAATTATTCTTATTATAAATAGTTTTCAGTTTTTATGTTACACTTGTAAATCAGAAATCGTTATAGTTAATATGCTTACAAATGATGTGAATCATTAAAAGATTTCATTGCAGTGAAAAAGGAAGATGTATCAACATTTATCCCAATGCATGTTTATAAGTCATGAAAATAATTTTAAAAATGCATTTGGTTAAATCTTTTATACCTACTCATAATAATTGTGGTGAACGCTGTTCACACCTCGCAAAACATACCCCCTTGGGACAAAATAAATGACGGGCTGATCATAATTGTTTAACCAACCTGTCCAGCGACATTGCTGAAAATGATAATCTGAAAGGAAAAATTCTATAATGCATTTTTCATATTGCAAACATGACATAGACTACCATGAGAAGACATTAGAATATATTCACAGTGTTTGAAATTATTCATTCATGATCAGAAGTGAATTTTTAAATCTTAGAAGACAAGATGTGTTTGTGAAGCACTGATGCCCACTATGGCAGCATAAGGCGAAGGTTAAAGTTTCTCAAATGCAAATCAAACTCCAAGGTCAAGGTCAAGAAATCACAAATGATGTTACCCAATGAAATGACATGTGTCAATGGATATACCTGATAAATATGAAATCCCAAGCATCAACCATTCAAAAGTTATGGTCAAGGTTAATATTTTCTAAAAGTGGGTCAAACTACAAGGTCAAGGTGTCAAAATTAATGGTAGACAGGAGATGACATGTCATAAGAAATATACAAGCAAAATATAACTGTCCTAGCACCAACTGTTTAAACGTTATGGCGAAGGTTAACGTTTTATTAAAAGTTGATCAAACTCCAAGGTCAAGGCCAAAGGGAAAATATTATTGGTATTCCAAGGAAGGCTTTGTCACAAGGAATACACCTATGAAATGTGAGAGCCCTAGCACCAATTGTTCAAAATTTATGGCCATGGTTAATGTTTTTTTAATGGTTCAAACTCTAAGGTCAAGGTCAAAAAGTCAAAAATATTTACACCCATGGAAAGGTCTTGTCACAGTATACACATGTGAAATGTGAGAGCCCTAGCTCCAACTGTTCATAAGTTATAGCAAAGGTTAAAGGTCGGTAATTTTCTGCTAAAGTGGGTCAAACTCCAAGTTCAAGAGGTCAAATATGTTGGTACCCAAGGGAAGGACTTGTCACAAGGAATACACATGTGAAATATAAAAGCCATAGTTTTGACTAATCAAAAGTTATGGGCAATGATAAAGTTTTTGCGGACAAACAGACAGACAGACGGACAAACATGGCAAAAACTATATACCCCCAAATATTTGATTACGGGGGCATGGAAATAAATAATTTAATTTTACTTGATCTTTGCGAAATTTTCGAATTTGCCACTCATATCATTTATTTGAATAAAGGACGTAGAATGTGTTTGGAACATGATACGTTTATTTGGTCAAATTTCTGTAAGTGTTTTTTATATTACTTTCTGTACAAATTTATGCAAAGTTGGGCATACTTGAGCTTCGTGGTCCACAGCAACGAAATCTATGGCGTCTGTCCTCATAGTAATTGTGATGGTAACTTGCCATACCGTTAATATATCCTGACCCTGGACATTGAAAGTGGACAGCGTGGTCAAAGTCGTTGACGTATCCTTCGAGATTGATAAAAGTTACACATGATAGAAAATAGAATATTTCCACGCATATATGATACTCAAGTCTTGAACAAAACCATTCATTAATACGTAAGGAGGATTCTCGATTTCATTATCTGAACGAAATAATGTTTGTTAAATTGATTGTCTTGAGATATATATATATATATATATATATATATATATATATATATATATATATATATATATATATATATATATATATATATATATATATATATATATATATATATATATATATATATATATATATATATGTATGTATGTATTGTGTGTGTGTGTGTTTACCAGTCCAATGACAATTCACTTTGTTTCTACGTTTCAAAGCTCTACCACAATGGAATTCGTATCTTCTGTCTTCGTAATAATTATGATGAAAGGATACAACAGCATCAATGAACTCAGCAGAAGACGGACAGTGAAAATTAAGAGCACCATCCCATTTGTTTTTCAGACAAAATACCTCGTTAGAGAGTAGGACAAAATATACAGCAAACAGAATAATTTCCATTATTCCTTTTTGATCGGCTATCTGAAAATGAAAACAAAAATATACATTGATTTGTTGTTGTTTTTTTTCATATATGCACCATCAGAAAATGCATATTAGGGCTATGTAGATGTAAATTATCGTACATACGGCTTTGATTTTGAACAATATTGATAACAAAAAATTCCTTCCATATAACTCACACTCTAAAATATTTACAAGTTTTAGTATTTTCTCAAAATGAAACAAGAGTAATTCATTATGGGAAAATCTTCGCTAAATAGTAAAACAAGTCAGCCGTCAAGTCTATATGAGTGATAGTTTGTAATGATGGCATTGTTAAGAAAATTCAACACAGAAATCGAAATTTTGTACAATTTTGTTTGCACATCTTATAATTATTAAATAGATTCTTTTCTAGACCATTATTTCACCAAATAATAATAATAATAATAATAATAATTTAAAAAAAATTCTAACATGTACACAGTGCATATAAAGCTTACAGTTATAAAAATTTTATTGTTGCAAAAATATTTTGTTGCAAAAATATATTGTTGCAAAAATATATTGAGAGTTTTGAAAAGAAACAAAACATAATCAATATTTTCAAATCTAATTATGGCATTTGCATTATACATGTAATGTAAACTAGTATTGATTTTTAAGATAAACAAAAACGAAAAAGATTAAAAACTATAAAAAAGGAATGATTCGTTGAAAATCATTCTAGAGTATTGTACGCTTCAGATTTCATATAGTGTTTAAATAACTTATCTCTGTTTCTGCGGTATTATAAAGCTGATGTAATCTAAAATTTATTTCATACTATATTTCAATTTTAATTGAAGTAGTCAGACTGAATTTGTGTATTTATCATTTTCTCCTCATTATATAGCTATTTATAAATGTTTTGTCAATTATATCCCCTCTAGATTGATATTTTTCTAGGTTTTAAAAAAAACGTATATTTCTTAATTTGACATTAGCATAAAATATGGATACTTAAAATATCTCAATGACCTAGATATGAGCAGGTATGCATACGTATTTATGATTATTTTCTTTAAACGTACACATTTTACATGTTTTCAGCTCCATTTTTTTTAACATGGGCATATCAAAATTAGTTGCCACGAAAGTCAACTCATATAAATTTATTGTAAAGAAACTTTCACCTATAAATAATGCTGTTTTTTTTAATTACTTCAAGGTTATTATCATGATTTTTTTACAACGGTGAAACAATTGCTTGATTTTTAAAATGGTGCAAGGTCTACAGATTTTTTGTAAAATAAATTTTATTATAGTTTTCAGATCCTCAACTGTTTTCCTTATACTCAGCTTAACTTTTAAAAATATTTACATTCCACGGGACGTTATGATTAAATATATCTTAGAATCTGTACTGTTCATTGTTTGAAAATGCATATAAAAGCTTACTAATAACGTGCATTCTATAGCTTGTATGCACATCCCCTTGATGTCTTTATGAAAAATACAGTATTTGTTCAGAAATTGCTGTACAATAACATAAACAAAGATCACTTACCCACGAACTTGATCAAATGAAATATCATGACAGACTGTAAATTGTTCATTAAAATGTATTTGAATACCTGAAACAGATTGCACATGTAAACTGATATTTAAAATAAACCAAACTATTTACTTTTTCACACTTTTATTGGGAATTCTGAATGCATACAGTATGACTCCATCTCAACAAGACAGAACTGTTATATTGATTTATATACCACTTAAAACGACATTTTTTTTCAACATTTACAGTTAAGTTTTGATAATAATTTAGACTGTAATTTCACCAGATTCAATTAAGATATCTCCCCCAATCTTTTCGCTGAAATACATTTATATTTACCTGTATTACACATAACATTTGTCCACTATCCACACTGTCAAATGTGTAAGTTACTGGAATATTAATCTCATAGTCACAACTATGTACTGCGAATTTGTATAAACATTTTTCTTAGCAAGTTGTGGTACTCATTACTATCAAAATATATAAATATGAAATGATACCCTAAATAAAATATTTGGAATACCATATAGCTCCTTCAAAATAATTTGTCACGCAAATAATATTTTTACTGATACATAGGTGTATATATAGATTAATACGATAAATACGATTAACACATCCGTTCTCTACATGCAAACACCCACTTTCTGAATATGTCACATGAGTAACTAGGGACTACGGTAAATTATTGTTACTTGTACTTGTTTTCGTCCGTTGTAGAGTTCATATCCAAATTTCTCTCAACGTCTGTTTTCCTTACCATACAAGCTAGGAATTAGGATTTAAGCTTTATCCCGGGTGAAAATAGTCTTTCTAATGGCACATAAATACAGCAATTGTTTTAAGAATTACATTATTTATTCACATTTTCTATAATAAGACAACAGCAGAAGCCAAAAAAATTCACAAGGAGGAAGAAATAGCTATTCCGGTAAAAGTTTTCTTCCCAGAAACTGCGAGGGTTGAAAAACTTCAACTGTATATATAAAATCATTCTCATGTGGTACACATGTACATTTATTCCAATTATGACACTTGAACATCGAGTGGGATTTCGTGGAATGCAAAAAAAAAAAAAAAAAAAAAAAAAAAAAAAAAGTGTAGACGGTCGGTTGGACGACCTTCCTTTTTCCATCCCTTGTGAATCAAGTTGTATGTATTATCTATTTATTTTTCTAAATAAATAATACGGTATTTCATTGAATCTGCCATAACAGGCTTATTCAATACAAAGAATTAAAAGCCGTTCAAAAGCTCTTGTGGCGGTACATATTGTCATTTTGTACATATTGTCGTCGACGACAATTTGTACCTACCCTCACTATACATATTGTCGTCCATCGGTACATATTGTCGCCGGCTGAAAAGTTGCATATGTACATATTGTCGATTGCGACACCCTCGCTTTACTTATTGTCGCCCCACAGATATTGTTGCTTAAAGATTTCTTTTTTTTTTTTTGGTAGTTTTGTAAATGTACACTCCCTCTCGAGAATTTTTCATTCATATTGAGAAGTTGCCACTTGCCTGTGGAGGGCTGCAAATTTAGACCTGTACTCCGCATTCATACTTGGCACTCAGGGTCATTGAGCAGTGAGGGATTTTTTTCGTGGCATCACCTCAAAATTGAACGTACGCTATGTAATGTTACTTTTCCTGAATTTAAAAGCTGCTTGAATTTCTGATTGAAAATATATATGTTTTATTTGGAGATCAGGTCGTCAAAAAATCTGCCAGGATTACCATATGTACTTATTCCACCCCGTTATTAGCTGACTTTTTTGTATTCATTTGAAGCAGAATTTGTTCAAAAACTTTTACATAAGAAGAAAAAAAAAGTGTGGCCTTCAACTCAACATTGAGATATATCGACGTTGTATTATCAATTACCGATAGTTACTTCCATTCATATGTCGATTTGATATGTCCTAGAGAACTTGAAAGATATCACAAAATCTGACACATCTATAATATATTTGGAGATTTATGTTCTAGAAAAAAGAAGTTAGTACATGTAGCAACGTAACCACAAAAACTTTAAGATAAACATGATAACTTCAACTTTACTAACGTCAAGTTCCTTATTTTTGAGACATATACCCCTGTCACCTGCATATAAAGTTTATGTCTCCCTGTTGATTCGATATACACGATTGTGCTCTATAAACACCCACTTTCTAAAACAAGTCAGACATTATTATAGTTATCCAGGTTCAATCAAGGGATTTACCCTGAGTTTTATTCCATACACCCTGAGGCTGGGGTTAATCCCCGTACACCCTTGATTGGACCTGGATAGCGAATTTATTTCCTATGTATCCAAATAAATTCTTTGTAAACAAGTCCAATCAACTGTGTTTCAAGCTATCGATAAGATTTACTACGTCCTACAATGCATCGTGACGTCATGTTATTTGTTTTTTAGCATAGAGAAACTATGCCTTGTGAAGTCACTTTTTTTACCCTTTCTCAAGTCGGGTGTACGAAAATCTACACCCGACTTTGTAACCTATCAAAGCTCTTGAAGCTACATCGGAAATAAATACCCCTGTCACCTGCATATGAAGTTAATGTCTCCCTGTTGATTCCATATGCACGATAATGCTCTATATTCGCAAAATTTCTACAACGTCAAGCTATTGACAAACACTTTCATGAAATAAAGATATAAACAGTCTCGTTTGAAGTCAAATTCTAAGGTTGATACAATAACCTTGTCGGCAAATATGATGTATCACTAAGTCCAATTTTGACGGAAAATCTTGATACAAATTGTGTGGAGCTGTTTACACACAAAATTGTTTACGAATTTTTACTTATTTTCCAATGATACAACTTGAATGTGGTTTCTTATCCTTTATATTACATAAAACCATTTCTTAAATTTTCAATCGTACCATTCTCCGCCATATTGGATTCAGTGTACACCTTTCAACACATGCCCTAAATTTGGTGTAAGAAAGTGTACACCGAGTGTACACCAAAAGTCTACACCCCTGCACTTGATTAAGAAAGGTGTACACGGTGTAAGCGGTGTAAGTAAATCAAGCGCGCCCCTTGTTTGCCTTGCTCCCATTCTGTATTATTTTAACGGACTTCTGAGCTTGATTTCTGTCCGTTACCTACAAATTTCATCAATAATTGTCGTTACAGAGAATCAATCATAAAGACAAAGATTTCCTCTGTGTTATTCCCAACATTTGTTTTTAATTTAAAAGTAACAAATACTTAAACAGCTCTATTTAAAGATATTTTTGTTTTTTTTTAAATGAAAATGGACATATATTAACTTGCAGAAAATTTTACAGGGCGATCTATACTTCCTCAAAAACTTAAACACTGTAAACTGTAAAATTTATGCACCATTTAACAAAAATACATCTAGATTAACCTTTTTGTAATCCTTAAGACATTTTTGTTGTAATATTTTTCAAGTTGATACTCAGAATGTACCAATCTGATTTTTATTTAAGGAAAAAAGGATTGATTCAATAATTGATCATATGTTTTTTTCTTTTTCCTCATTTATCTTCTATTTATTCATATTACCCCGGAAATTAAAATACTAGTATATCCGGGTCGGGATGCTTTGAATACCCTCTTCTACATTTTAGTTTATATACGTACGAGAGCGCCACACTTAATACAACTAAATGTAGAGTAGCACACCGGATTTGATTTTGATTCTGACACATTCATTTCCGAAATTTCCCCGGAATATAACGGCAATTTTTAATGTAGTTGAGCTTTATAGTTACTTAATATACATGTAGAGTATAAGTCAAGAAAAAATGAGTTTCATGTTGAATTTGTCGTAAGCCTGCAACGAAATATGGACAAATATTCAAAGAAATAAATGCAGGTACATTGATGATATTGATGATATGATAGCTCCCTAACAAAAATACTATAGTTAACTCTTTTTAGTTTACTATAGGTAACAATAGTGAGCTATAGTGATAACTTTGACACTATAAAAACTATAGTTAACTATAGTGATAACTTTGACACTATGAAAACAGTAGTTAACTATAGTAATAACTTTGACACTTTAAAAACTTTGATTTGCTATAGTGATCACTATGAAAACTTTGATTTACTATAGTGATAACTATGAAAACTTTGATTTACTATAGTGATCACTATGAAAACTTTGATAAACTATGGTGAAAACGTTGATTTACTATAGTGATAACTTTGAAAACTTTGATTTACTATAGTGATAACTATGAAAACTTTGATTTACTATAATGATAACTTTGAAAACTTTGATATACTATAGTGATAACTTTGACACTATATTGATCACTTTTAAAACTTTGATTTACTATATAGTGATAACTTTGACACTATAGTGATCACTATGAAAACTTTGATTTACTATAAAGTGACCACTATGACACTATAGTGATAACTATGAAAACTTTTTTTTTACTGTAGTGATCACTATGAAAACTTTGATTTACTATAGTGATAACTATGAAAACTTTGATTTACTATAGTGATTACTATGAAAACTTTGATAAACTATGGTGAAAACGTTGATTTACTATAGTGATAACTTTGAAAACTTTGATTTACTATAGTGATAACTATGAAAACTTTGATTTACTATAATGATAACTTTGAAAACTTTGATATACTATAGTGATAACTTTGACACTATATTGATCACTTTTAAAACTTTGATTTACTATATAGTGATAACTTTGACACTATAGTGATCACTATGAAAACTTTGATTTACTATAAAGTGACCACTATGACACTATAGTGATAACTATGAAAACTTTTTTTTTACTGTAGTGATCACTATGAAAACTTTGATTTACAATGATAAAAACTTTAATTTACTATGATGATAGCTTTGAAAACTTTGATATACTATAGTGATAACTTTGACACTATAGAAATCACTTTGAAAACTTTGATATACTATAGTGATAACTTTGACACTATAGAAATCACTTTGAAAACTTTGATATACTATAGTGATAACTTTGACACTTTGATTAACTATAGTTAACTAACGTTAACTAAAGTAAACTATACTTAACTTTAAGTAAACTATAGTAAACTATAGTTAACTATATTAAACTATAGTTAACTAAAATATTTTTGTTAGGGCTATTTAAAGGTTGATGACAATTTTAAGATGATGACAAATTTAAAGATTTTATGAAGAAAAAAAGGGTGAAGTTTTTATTGGAACTTTCAATTTTATATTTATTCACTCTTCCACAAAAAGGAATAATTCCAATCAAATTAAAAAAAAAAAACAAGTGCGAGTAACATGACACGTTTCTCCATTTAAAACTAATACTTTGAACAAAAAAAAAGGATAAACATTCATATATTATCTGGACACGGGCGTCACGGATACGTACATATTGGTTATGTTAAAGTTGTTCCGGATAAGTACTCATTTGTTTAAGAAAACGTGATTGAACAAATCGTAATAAATTATCTCCTGACGTACATCTAAGGAAATCGGCGATTGATTGTGAACTTTTAGTTACTGAATGAGAAGTCATATTTAGAAGTTTGCTATACCTTATTCTTATAATAAATGAGTAATTATATATTCCATAGTGTTACATTTATGTAACTGATATACTTCGTATAATGTATATGAACTGTGTCCACAAGAGTCAGAATATATATATATTTTTTCAAACACGTGTGTATTTAATTCATCATTGTGTCTCGTGTACATAGATTTTTGAACTCCTTTTCCAAACGTGATAAACCTATTTTGGGGAAAGAGGGAGGAGACTGTTTAAGCAGATCTCTTTCACTTCTCAAGCTTCATAAGAATATTTCCTTCAACTCACATAATAAGGGTCCGCATTTTTCCAGGTTAATCCAAGGTCATTTATAGTTATTATACTATGTAAAGTTTAATACGTTTAATACCTCCTCAGTCTTTGGGGGTGGGGGTGGGGAGTTGTACGTATGAATTAAAAGCGGAAAATTGACAAATATAGGTTGGAAATAAGGTGTTTCAATTTTTAATATATTTTAGTTAATAATCAATAAATCAATATACAGTGTAAAATATTTTATTCCCACTCTTGCATCAAAAAAATATTAAAAATATAAACCTAAGCGTTTCCTCTATTTTTTTTTTTTTTTTTTTTTTTTTTTGGATCGCCCACATGGCACAATGCATGGTTAGAGCGTTTGTTCTAGAGTCACGGAGTAAGGAGTTGATACTTACGTTGCGGGTTGGAATCCCAATGTGGGACGTGGATTCCGGTCCTTTGGATGCGACCGTATAAACGTACCGAAGTCCCGTGACGCCGTAGTTGCTGGCACCAAAGAAGATCAATGCTCTGAGTGCTGAATGGTCCTGAGTTCCGAGTAAAGATATTAATTTGTCCTCCACTGGAAAATGGTGGCGTCTCGATATGAATAAAAAATTCTTGAAAGGGACGTTAAAAAAACAATTAAACACTATTTAATTTCTTCAATGCAGCGTGGCAGTTCTTTTTATTGACTTATCTGTAAACAGTGACTCTACAACCGTCTAGAAAAAAAATGCCCACAAGCGTGAAAGGAACACATATTAGGAAAAATATTAGGTTACATGGTTTTTGGTACAGAGGAAATAAAAGTAAACAAGAGGTTTATCAGCTCAAAGTCTACGAAATTTACTTTAGTGCATCACCTCTGGTACTTGTAACATTAAAAAGATGGTGAAGGTGAAAAGTTATATTAATGTGATTCTTGTGAGGTTAAATAAAAATTTATGACTTAATTTAAAGAGTCTTATATCGATTTAATAAATTGAATATTTCTTGGGAAACTCTCCATTCGCTACAATAGATCTGCCGATGCATACGTAAATAGAACAAAGCGAGATATTAGTATATGCATCACTGGCTACACGGATATGGATGTATAAGTTTTCAGTGGCAATTTCCGAATGTATTCATCTGTGTAAATAAGAGTAAATGAGTGTTTAGAGTTATGCAACAATCCAAGATACTTATTTCCTTTACTTTGTTCATAGTTTTAAAATGCCAGTGAATTCTAATTATAATCAAGAGTTTGTCAATTTATAGGTGAGTAAAGTTTTTGATTGCTCTTGTTTAAGATAAACAACACCGAAACATATGTTTTGTTTTTTTTAAATTATCATCAAGAGTTTGCCAATTTAAGGGTGAGTAAAGTTTTTGATTGCTCTTGTTTAAGATAAACAACACCGAAACATTTTTTTTAAATTATAAAATTAGTATCTATTCAATATGTTTGCTATAAATTTGGACACTCTTTCCAGTGTGATGTGGGTTAACATTTACAATAAGATAAAAGGATTTGTAGTAACCTTTGTAAGTCTACAACTGAGTACGAAGCACAAGTACGTGTAATCAAAATAATTCTCTGTCTATATAATAGCAATGCATATATTTATATCAATTAGTATTCTATCTGTACACTTTTTTCCATTTTGCTTGAGTAGTAGGTTGTATTTTTTTTTAAATAAATATATATATATATATATATATATCTTTTATGTGGTTATAGAGGTCAAGGGATGCAAAATTTTAATTCAGAAAGGTTTGTTTAAAGTTTTAACCTTTCAAAAACAATCAAAAAGCATTTTAAAAGTTTCGTATAGATTAAGGAAGGGTACATTAATGTTCTTGTATATAAGGTAAAAAAAAATAATTAACGTTAACAAGGTACACTTTGCGAAATGTTTAATATATATTTGCCAATTCAAACACCTGGAGTTTGATGCATGAAGAAACTTTGCATACTTTACATACAAACATCTTGTTGATAACACTAGGTGTATCAGCGGCAGTGATTCAAATATTGGACAAATTAACGGGTTTCATGGAATTGTAAGTAGTAGTGAAACTCTCATGGAACAGTTTCATAATGACTGTCAAAAGGAAAAT